TGGATGAAAAAATGTTGAAGAACATATGGATGATAAAGAATACAAAACACATGAATGAAAAAATGTTGAAGAACATATGGATGATAAAGAATACAAAACACATGAATGAAAAAATGTTGAAGAACATATGGATGACGATACCACTCACAATAATTTTCTTTTTATTTCAGTTAAGTGTAATTTTATGTTTAATCTTTTACACACACATTTAACCATCTGACCTTTCCACTGTTTCGATTTTTCTTTATTTGAATGCATTTTTTTATATGGATTTCGAACCAGATACAACTTGGCTAATACTGTTAAATTTATTTTATTGCACATAATTTTTTTTCAAAAATGAAAGTAATGTTCTATAATTTTTCTCCGAGGGAGTTTTTTTTTTACATATCTTGTCTTTTAATTTAAGGTATTTCTTAAAAAAATTAGCTATGTAGGAATCTACAAAACAAGGCATCGCGTATCAGAAGAAAAAGAAAACTTATTAAAATAATTTAGAGTATTATTTTTTATTAATTTTGATCTAAAGTTTACATGAAACTTTAGAATGTGACATTAATAAACAATAAGGCGACTTTCCCACATCACGTTTTTTTTCTTTAATTTATATGTTTATGGGTAGAAAAATGTATTAACTACGGTCACTGACTTTAAAATTATAATTTCTTTGCTTCAATGGGAAATCAAAATTATTTCCTACAACTATGAAAAACTTTAAAGTCCTTCTCATCAAAAGCTACTTAAGACTGATTCTAGAAAAATAGAGTATGCTCTCGTAAAATTCTAAAAAAACTACTAATCAACATTTCTATTAGTTCGATAAAACTCTTAAAAAAACATTTCATAAAGAGCGAAATTGTGTGAAGTATCATACGAATAGTAAATTTATAGAATTCTTCACAAGCTTCTCATTCTCAATTCGTATTAAATCAGTATGTCTATATTGTAGATGATAAGTTAATTACATTCTAATATATAAAATAAATAGGTCTTCCTAATTCTCTTTCAGTGAAGTATGTTTTTGTAGCATTTAGAGTTTTACTAGAATGATAGAAATGTGGATATTTGGAACACTATCTTTATTTTAAAAACCGCGAAACTTTGAAATTTGTTTTTCGGAAACCTCACATGTCTTAAGTGACATCCAACACAAAAGAACGAAGTGACCCAATTTTGCACACTATATTTGTGGAGCTATTGGGCCCGGTTTCAAGCTTCACTTCCTGTTCCCTCTATTTCTTGAGTAACAGATCTTTACAAGACGTGTGTCGGCGGTCTAATGAGACTCGCAACTTCCTGAAATGAAAGTAAGATACAATCTAGTAATAAAGACGGGGAAAATAAATAAGTTCGGACATTTTAGTGGAATAAAAAGAGTGGTATCACTGTAAAATGTTGAAATCAGATATATAATTGTGAAATGTTGAAATCGGATAATATATTTATAAATAATCAGTTTATATAATTGGTCTTATATGTTTAGACCTAAGTTATAGCTATAAAGCAGGGGTGGCCAACCTTTTAGATAAGACTGCCACTATTTAATAAAAGCTAGTGATATAAAAAAAATTGTTAAGTCAATTCCTACTTAGGTCAACAAAGAAAATTTTTATTTTAGTTACTTTTTATTAAATAACTACAGTTAATATAAATATATCTATACATATGACAGAATTACAGTATTAAGTGGCAAAACAGAAAGCGATTTTCCATTTTCCTTTTCTATATATGGTGTTGGACTATTATTTTTGTTTGTTACTATTTATTCATTAATTAAATTTAATTATTCCAATAAAATAGTATAGTAAAAAAAATCATATTCTCAAAAATTAGGCCATCCCAGGTGGGATTTGAACCCACGACCTTTGGATTAAAAGTCCAACGCGCTATCCATTGTGCTACAGGGACATAAGGAGCGATTTTTCTTTTTATATATGCTATTGGACTATTATTTTTGTTTGTTACTATTTATGCATTAATTAAATTTAATTAATGAATTAATACTTAAAAAAACTGTATTAACATCGAGTGTCATCCACTACAAGTTCAGAAAAATATATTTGAACTTGAGTGGATGAATAAAAAGCATTTTATTAACGATTGAAAATGTTAACAAGATATATATATATATGTATATAAATATATATAGGAAGAGTGTGAATTATAATATTAGGAATTGAAAAATATTAAAAGGTAAGAAAAAGGTTATTTTTCGGCTTATTGTGGGATTTTTACGCAACTAGTGCCTTTCTTAGGCATTTTTATGCATACACATACAGTGGAAATTTATATATAAAAATAATATAATAAATAAGTCAAAAGTGACCAAACTTAGATTTTATTTTTAACAAACCTTTTACAGGCTCGATCAGTTAAGTTATATTTAAAATAAAATGGAGAAACTTGAAACATATTTAATTTTAAACAATTATAAAACAGTTAGTACTTACTTAATGCGGTTTTTGAATTTGTAGTTTTTTTTTTTTTACCAAGTCATTTATATTAGAATTGAAGATACTAACAAAATTAGTAGGTTTCAGGTATATATCAGAGTTAATTTTGAGTAATATTTTGTTCTTATTGTGTTCTTAGTAAAAAAAAAAAACATTTGTGTTCACAAACATATATATGTATGTTGATCCAAATCTATAATAATATCTAGCGGTCAAATCTTATATATTTGAAAAATTGCTTGTTAGTTCAAATTTCCAAAATTCAATACAATTCCATTAGTAAATTTCAAAATCTATCATAGTTTGGAGCATTATTAACTTTGATAGACAGTTTCTGCATTAATGTGAATGTATTAATCCTTTTTCATAAAATCCAGACAAAAAGCACAATTTTTTTTTTTGCAAAAGAAGATATACGACCAATTAAGGTAAGAAAAATACAATCTTTCCCTGTAATTCTAAATTTAAATTATTTAAATCTCTCTCAATATCGGTAAGAAAAGCTAAATCCTATTTCCAATCTAAACTTTGGAGTTACAAGCATTTACTGGGTAATTCATTGTTTTCTTCTAGATATTTTTTAAACACTCTTCTTCAAATTCCAATATCTCACGATTGAACTTCTTATGGAAAGCCAGCGCACACAACGATGAAAGAGTAATATTTGCATGAACATTTCATATTGAAACTTAATTAATTGAGTGTAATTAAAATAAATTTTAGATCTTTTTTGTCTGAGATAACCACATTTAGATAAATTATTTAAAAAAATGTTGTTCATTATTATCTTTTAATTTTTTAAAAAAAATTTCAATAAGTTTTTGCGTGCCATTGTTACAACTCCACCGTATCACACTGTGGCAAGCGTGCCGTGGGTTGGTCACCTCAGCCAAAAAGCGTCCATTCATTTTGTTATTTTATTACCTCAACATATAAAAAAATAAATTAAGAAGTGGGTGCTATATACCAGGCGTCTGCAACCTATGGCTCGAGGTACAGTTCTCAATGGCACGCTATGCCACATTACAAACTTGTCTATTTTTGAACGGATGGAAGCTGATAGTTTTGAAATGGAGACTATTGAAGTAACAAGTTTAGAAATATGGAAAGTAAAATTTATGGATTTTCGAAAAAATGTAAAATACAAATAACAATTAATTAACAGCTATTTTAAATTGTTGGATGTCATTGCTGGAGAGATTTAATTGTTCGAAGAGAAAATTACTTGTACTCTGCTTACCACTTTTGGTTCAACATATCTAGGTGAACAAGTCTTTTCTCGTATGAGAAATATTTTGAATGCACCAAGAAGGTTTCTGAAAGTCAGAATTGTGTCAAATTAAAAGTTCAGTGATGCAGAGATAAAATTTGTAATAAGATATTTATTTTTTATTTAACTATATTGAAGCAATACTTATATTATGTTAATTTATTTTTTTAATAAATATGTTTAAGAGATACATAATACACGTACATTTTTAATTTTTTTTATTTATGTTGAAGGAATAGTTACATTATTTATGGTGTTTATTTTTTATACTAATAATTATCTTTAAATGACGCAAAATTAATACATAACAAACCTGTAAATCTGTTTTCTTGACCTTTATTCTCTGGTTGCATTTTCGTGGAAGTCCAATTGTTTCAAATATTTCATTTTGTGTTGCACCCTGAATCATTTGGTAAATTGGTTCGGTACACCACTACTTCAAGGTTTCCGACCCTTCCTGTTATGAGAGAAAGTGTCTGTAAAAAGTCCTAAAATAATTCTTCAATTGAAATCTCTTAAGAAATTTACTATATTTTAAGATGATTTTGTAATATTCTTTGGATAATAAAACTCCATGTAATTTTTACACATAGGGAAATCTTTTATGATTCAAAAATCGCGAATACAATAATAAGTACATTTTGTATGTAATAAAAGCTCTGGTTCTGAAGATGGCTTTTGGTATTATCATTATATTTGTTAAATAATCTGCGTATTTATATATACAATAAATACCTTACGTTCAATTAAAAACGATGTATTGAATTCACAAAAGGAAATATAATTTTACATTGTTAGTTCTTTTATTCTTCAGTTGCATTTATGATATTAACTGTAATTTTAACAATTGTTTTTCAATTTCTTTGTAAGTTTTAAAAACAATAAACTGAAATGTAACTATTATATTTGCTCTATTTTGTTTGAATTGTTCTGTATTTAATGTAAAATAAAATATTACAATGTAAAGATATTTAATGCAAAACAAAAAAAGTGGTAAAATTATTATAAATAAGTGAAATTATAGCAACGTAATTAAAAGTCTTATTTCGATAGGTAGCAAAAATAAAGTGGAGTAAAAATTGAGTACCTATCAGAGAAATGTACATTTTATTTCTATATTTTTAAAACTAATATAATCTAAAGCATTAAATACAAATATGTATCAGTTTTAAGATTAAGAAAAATTCCATCCATCGATAATTTTGCTTCATAAAATTTTGCTTTTATAAAATAATTGCAAGAAAATATTTTCACATAAAAAGAAATATTAAATATGTGTGTGTGTGGAATACTCATTGCTACAATGTTTTAATTTTAAAGAATAGTCGGAAATATCAAATTATTTCAAGAAAACTCATATATTGTTAGTGTAGAGAACAAGGAAAATAAAATAAGATTTAAAATAGCAATTATTACATCAAGGTCAATGTTTGGTAGTATTGAATTGAATTTTACTGAAATAATCTATCTATTAAGAGGAAAGAGAGAGATAGAGAAAAATAAATACGATGATTTTGTAGAAAATTATAGTTGTTCTGTTATTTACGGAAGTTGATCGGGACAGGAAAAATATCAATACATTTTAAAAGAGGTTACTTTAAACGCTTGCTTACAAAAATTCTGTTCAAAATATACCATGCTTTGTAGATTTTTTTTCGCTTTCTTAACAAGTAAAATTCTAATGTGTTGAACACAAATTAATGTGTATGAAACTTTGAAAGAGAGAATGGATTACTTGAGCTATATAAACATAACAATAAAATACCAGTAATAGATTCAAAACAAAATTTAGAGATGATACTACATTTTTTGTAAGGAAAGTGCATGATGGAAAATGGTATAGGAAAGAATTGAAACTAATGATTTAGAACATTATAAATGATTTACAGGCAGTCAAAATATGTACAAAATACGTTTATACAGAATGGTTATTAATATTCTCTCAACTTAATTTATATTGAAAAAATTTTCAAAAGAATTGTCATCGGATTAAAATAATATTGCTTTTCTCTCTTTTTTTACCAGGAAGACGATACTAACTAATAGGTTTCTTTTTAAAAAATCAAAATATTTTTGTAATAATTTTTTGAGGGAAAATTTTACTTATCTTAAAGGTAGCGTAAGTCTGGTAGTCTAGGGCTGATGGTCGCGAACCCAAGACCAGTGTTTCTTCTGTCAGACTGTGGTTTTGAGTCCTGGTGCCGCTGAATAGGCCAATACATGTTTCATATGTCAAACGTTGATGTAATATGGAAGTATGAAGAATGAGGTGTCAACTCAGGTGTCGTCCTCATCATTTGGCAGAGCTTCAAAAATACAAGGCCCGTCGCCAATGGCTGTCGAGTTGCTCCATAGTGACTTTAATTAAAAATTCTCAAGCTAATCAAGTTGAAGTTAGAGTCAATCAAATATTAAAATATAATTCTTCTTATTAGAAAACGGACTGTCTTCAATCCATTGACCCAAATAGACCTACCCAATATCCTATTCTTACTATCGTGCTATCAGTACTTTTTTCGTAATCTCCTTCCAGTTTCAGAGTATCGTTGGGAAAGTTCTTTACACATTCATTGCATCATCTACTTCCAGCAGGGATCAACTGCAGTTTTTTCCTCCTTTCTTGATGTTCAAGAAATATATGTGAGAGGTCCCTAGAATCATTATTCTTCCCTTACATTATTTCCCTTTTCGGAAAATAAATCTCAACTAATATTAATTCTTTTAGTTTGTCGGTATAACAGTTCTTTCAAAAATGTGAATTTCCAAATGTGTTTCAAAATTGAGCTCTTTTTTTTCCCTTTCTTTCTTTTTGGCAGAAAACATTTATCTTTTTTTGTTGAGTCACAGTCGAACTTTTGATTCGAAAACTGGCTCCAAATTTGAAGTGTGACTACAATCTGCTCATTAAATGACACGCAATTTTTTTATGTTGAAAAAAACACTGTGATTAAGATTTCTTCTAGCAAAATAATTGCATCTACAGTGAGTGTGGTTTCTCTATAGTTGAATTTCATTTCGAAATATTAGAATAATTAGTCTTTAAATTTCCTGAAAGTTAAGGGCAATTATTTTTAAAAAGATAAATATATTTTTTAAGAAAAGCAAGCATGTGTGGATTTCTTCAATGAGCAATTTTCAATTCTTTTTCCAAAAGTATGAAGTATTACTACGTTTTTGTCAAGCAA